AAAAAAAAAAATTTTTTTTTTCCCCCCCCCCCCCCCCCCCAATAAAAAAAAAAAAACTTATCAGACAACAGCCAACTGATAAAAATAAAACTTAAACTCAGTTCACCAACAACGTAAACTTTAGCAGTCTAAGGCAGCGCGATTTCGATTGACACTTTTGAAAGTCTGACAAGGAAAAAACATTCACACTTCCAAACCCGAAAAAATATAGAAAGAAGTGGTTCTAGAGTGATAAGAACATACACACTAAAAGAGGCGCAAAAAAAAGTACAAAAAAAGTGAAGAAGACGTAAATCAACAATTACCACCTTTGATTCCTAAAAAGCGACAATTTATTAGACTCAAGTAAACCTGCTCTTTAAGACACGACGAAAAGTCAGAACAGGTGGCTGTAGCCATAAATGGTCAAAAAAATCCCTTACGTTGCAGAAAGAGATACATTTTATAAATTCCAGCTTACTACTGATCAAGGATAGGCTCCAAGTTTTAGAAAACTTCTCATTAAAGCAAAGGAAATGATATGCACTTTATTTTTTCAGTCTTTTGACTGCTGCCTTCGCCGACGGTCACTGAAGTGTACTAGAAAATTTAACGAGCTTCTTCAAATACCACTATCGTGAGCTTTTAAAACATCTTAATTGTACGTTAAGTTTTTTGATCGAATTAAAAAAAATTGCAGTGTTTTGCAAAAAGGAAATTTGTATTCCGTTAACCGCACTGAACAACGCACACACCTGTGACGTCTTACTAACTGACAGCCGTTCAGTGTGTATGTTAGGCAGAGTTGTTGCTCCAGTCAAAAACAGATTTCGGAACGACTCAGCCTACGAGAAAATTAGTGAGAACGAATCGTTAAAACAAGGTGAAAAGGTTCACGACATCATGAGGACCTAAAAAAGTTATTCTGTGAACAAGGCAACTTATTAGCTACAGAACGCAAACTGTGACGGTTAGTCTGAATCCAAAGGCAGCCCCCACAAAATGCAAGCGGACAGTCGAAATGAAGTCTTGTCAGCAGTGGACCTTTGCCAAAATAGGATGTAACCACCGCCAAAAAGCAGAATTTCAAAAATTTTGACTTGCGGATGTCGTTTACCGCTGTCCTTACTGGTTATTATTCTCAAAT